AATTCATACCTTTAGATAGTAACTTCCACATTGACTCTGGGCTTATCCACGTAACTTGCTTTAGCCAATGGGACATTAGCAAAGGTTATGGAAGCAGAGGCTTAAGAGAGGCTGTGCACTGGGGCTTATCTTCCTGGACCCCTGCTGCTGCCACCATGTAAGAAATCTGGGCTGTCCTGCTGGAGAGGACACGTGGAGGAGAACAGAGGTGCCCCAACCAACCACCAGCATGCCACCAGCCGTGTGAGCCAGGCCATCTTGGACCATCCAGCCCCAGTTGAGCCACCAGATGACCACACCACATAAGCGACCCGGGCAAGATCAGCAGAAGTGGATCATCCACCCTATAGATGAGGGGTCAGCAAGCTACAGCCCGTGGGCCAACTCTGCCCCACCACCTGTTTTTGTAAGGCCCAAAACCTAAGAGTAGGTTTTACATTTTTAAATGTCAAAAAAAAAAAAAAAATCAAAAGGAAAATAATATTTCGCGACACGTGAAAATTCTATCAAATTTGAATTTCAGGCCCATAAATGAAGTCTTATTGGCAAATGTTCCTTTACCTATTGGCCGTAGCCGCTGCGTGCTACAACAGCCAAGGTGAGTGGTTGCCATGGAAACCGTATGGCCCACAAAGCCTCAAGGATTTGCTATCTGTCGCTTTACAGAAAAAGTTTGCTGGCCTCTGCTGCAGGCTGTCATCAGACCAACCTTTAAACATCTTTTTTATTGTAGTCACTCCAAAATCTTTGAAGATTTCTATCTCCTCCATCAAAGGGATGAAACTTTGTTGGTCTGACTCCCCTGTCCTTAGGCAGACCCCAGGAGTCCGTGACACAGCATGAAAATGCCTTCATCTGGCTTGTTGTTTCTGCCCAGCAAGCTCTCCCCAACCGCTGCAACCGAAACCCTCCCCACCCTTCACTCCACTCAGGGTCCCCAGTTCCCCAACCAAGAAAGCTTCCCTAACTGCTTTGCCAAATGTTTCCCCGGGTGTATTCTGTGGAACATCAATCCCGAGAGAGAGCCTTGGAAAAAGGAATTATTGCAGCCTCTACCCTCCCTTAGAGGCACCATGCACATAGATGGCATATTAAAGGCTCTGAGAAGTCCTGCAGTAAATATGTGTTTCCCTTTGCTTAACTCAACCTTTCCCAAATGTATTAACCATAGAATTCATTTTGTCCACGGAATACTTATTGACCACCAGCATCTAGTACAGTGCCTGAATTTCAGCATTTGTTGAAAGAATGAGAAATGCTAACATCCCACAGACCTAGGGTTCCACAGAACATACTTTGGAAATGCCGTTCAAGCTCTTTCTTCTCTCGCTCTGATCTGAGCTGTTCCCTTCCGTGGCAGCTATTCCATACCAGGTAATGCTAATCACCATCATCATCATAGCTATCATTTATTTAGCGCCTGCAGGCACTGTGCCAGAAATAACACTAGACCCTTGAAAACATCATCTCTTTTAATCTTCACGACCACTCTGAAGTAGATAATATTATTCTATCATTGTCATTTTGCCAAAAGCTAAACTGTGGGTCAGAAAATTTAAGTCACTAGCCCAAGATAAAGGAAGTAGAGGGGCCGGCCCAGTGACATGGTAGCTAAGTTCGTGCACTCTGCTTTGGCGGCCCGGGATTGAACGGTTCAGATCCCGGGCCGGGACCTAAACACCGTTCATCAAGCCATGCTGTGGCAGGCATCCCACATATAAAATAGAGGAAGATGGGCACGGACATTAGCTCAGGGCCAGTCTTCCTCAGCCAAAAAAGAGGAGGATTGGCAGCAGACGTTAGCTCAGGGCTAATATTCCTCACCAACAACAAAAAAAAGTAAGTAGAAAAGCTCAAATTCAAAACTACATCGGTGCATCTCCAAACCTCATGATCTCTGTTCTCCACCAAAATATCTCCCGATAACATCCTGTGGCCAACATGCGGCTGTCCACCCATACCCCTGCATGCCTGCCTCCATGCCAGAAGAACCCCGATTTTATACAGAGTGGCAACAGGTCAACCCAGGCAATGGATCTCGACCCATCTAAACCAATCATGCCGGTGTTCCCCCTTCCCCACCTCCCAGCCTTGCAGCTTGGACGAGCCATTTGACCCAGTTCTGGCCAGGAAGACACAACTAAACATCTTCTGTGGGGCAGGGAGGAGGAGGAGAAGCCAAACAAAGATAGGAACCCTTGATTCCTTCACACTCACCCAGTCCTCCTCCTGCCTGCCTTGACCTGGCCGTAAGGTCGACAGCTCCAGGAGCCATCTTGCAACCATAAGGAAGAGGCCATGAGAATTTGCAAAGACATCAGCCCTGATATTATTAACTTACTGAGCCAACCCAAGCAGCTAAATACCTCCAGCCTTCTTGCCACATGAGAAAAAGAAACCATTATTTGCTTAACCACTGTGGTAGGACTGACCATTTCATGCAGCTGAACACATTCCTAATGGAGCCACACGCTGTCTCCCATATTATTCACTGTTTGGACTTTCTCATTATTTCATATATATATATATATATATATATATACATATATATATTTATCAGTAGCCTTGTCTCCCTAACCAGGAAGTACGCTTCTTGAAGATAAGGCCATGTTGTACATTCTTGTTCCTACAGGGGTATATGCACGATACTAAATTTGGCTTATTATCAAGGTGTTCAGGGATGGTCTGTTTCTTTAGTGTTGGTCAGCAAGGAGTCATCACCAACAGCTGAAACATGACATCCATCTCCTAATAGATTAGTATTTCTCAAAATATCAGTACGAAAATACGCATCAGAAACCTTGACTATTTATTAAATGCAGATTCCCGGGGCCTCATCCAATCCCAACTGAATTAGAACCTTGGGGGTTAGAGGCCGAGAACGTACATTTTTAATAAGCTCCCCCAGGTGGTTTTGATATACAAAATTTGACAACTTAGGGATAAAAAAAACCCCTGTGGATCCAAAGCCCACGTGAGGTTTGGCAGGACTTGACTGGACCCCAACTCACCAGCCCCTCCCTCAGCGGTCCCACTCTAGCCCTACAGACCTGGGAAGCCTAAACTTGCATGATTGCTGGAGACCCTTCCCTGGGCAATACGGACAAAATGGTTGGCATGGTCTGTGGCATACTGGGACTAGGAAACCAACAAACAGATGCATTCTCAATAACTTCAACCTCCCACTAAACCAATGACTCCATCCATCAGCAGTTTAAAAAGAAAACCACTACGCAGAAAAGAAGCCACAGAATCCAGGGCCCACTGCGACAATCACCATTGTCCAGGGAGTTATCAGAGGATGGAGCACGCTGAAGAGGAAAAGAAAACTTGAGAAACTTGCACAGCAATACACAAACTAGCATTTGGGACTCCTGACTCAGAGGACCAGAAGAGACCTCAGGTCGCCCTCTGGGGTTATTCATTTATTTACTGTATGCAGTTCTGAACAGAATATTATCTTGGTCACTGCTCAGACAGACAGAAGGCTGGGCCAGGGCATCCCACACTTTTTCTCCCAGCAGCAGAATCCTAGACTAGACTGCTCTCCCCAAGCTCTGAAAAAGAAAGTACCTGTGCCTCCTAACAGAATTTCCACTCCTCTTACACCCCTTGACATTCATCTTATTTCATTTCTGAGGATCATTTTCCCAGATGACAGGTGCACACAGACATGCACCGGAGGGTAGCAAACAGCATATTCAACACACACACAACTCCACTTTCAAACTGATGACCTTCCTGCAGGCTGACATCTGGCTAAATTTAAAACCACGGAGGAAAAAGAAAGACTTGAAAGTGAATCAGAGAGAGGTGCTCATCCAGGCTAGAACAGAGGCTAAAAGATTCAGTAGAGATTGAAGAGTTCAGGCCTTAGAAACAGAGGGAAGCTCCCAGCACTGCACATGCCCACTCCACCACAGGGAGAACCCCTGTTCTTTGCTCCCAGCCCCACTGCCAACACCCTCAGCAAATGCCAGCAAATGGGAGTCCCCAAATTTAATCAAGCCATGTGTACAGCTGGGCCAGTTTGAGGGAGGGAAGTGAGCTGAACCCTTCAGACGTTTCAAGCAAGGTGCATGCCCACTGATTACATGGACACAGGCATCAGGCATTTTCTATGGCTCTTGAAACCTTCCTCCTTTGACCAAATGGCCTTTCGAAGAAATAACTTCTGCCACCTCCTTCCTGAGTAACTTTGCATCCATCCCAGCCCTGCAAAACGGCTTCAAACTCCCCCTTAAGTTCTGTTGGAGAGAATGTTACAACAACCCAAAGATAACTCCTCCTCCGGACCCCTTTCCTGATGGTCCCACCGAGACTCAAGAGTATTTTCCCGCACCACTTGTGTGTGCTGTTCCCGGAATTATTATTTTTTTTCATCTTTTTACACGTTTTAGGCCTGCAACAGCTCCCTGCATCAAAATGATTTGATTGGAAGTGGGTAGCTCAATGGGGAATTCTTTTCCATGCATCTTGCCTCCTGACATGTACATCACCGGAAAAAAAACAAAATCCAAGGAGCAAAAGGGGCGCTGGGAAGGAGGCCGAGAGAAGAAAAGGTCTGTATTTATAGGCAGCCCCATTCTGCGAGCAAAAAGCACCTTTGACCACCTGCAGAATGCGCAAGGTCACGTGGGCTCTCTGCAGCGTCTTAATGTCTTAGCCGGCACACAAGCCCCCTTGGCATATAAACAAATCCACAAGCGGAAAACAGAGAGAACTCACTCCTCAGAGAGGAAGCCAATGATACTAACAGCCGCAAGAATAATAATAAAGAATACCAATGACTACTACTACCATCACCCAGCCAAGCGAAGACGACAGCAGTACAGTAAAGGGCCACCCAGTGCAGGCTTTGCAAGAATCCACAGAAAACCACATCGCACCCCCCTTGCTGCCCTCCACTCCCCCCACCCCAAACAGAATCAAAGGAAAGGGGACGGTGGGGAGAAAGGGGAGGGAAGCAAGGATTGCTTTCCCCCCTAGGCAACACCTACCTCCAGGGTCCGGATTTCTTTTTGTGTGAGGTCGTTGGAGGTAGCACATTTGGTCCTAAGCCCTTCCAGGTTGGAGATGCTCAGGTCTATCATGTTTTGGACCAACTCGCACTGCTGTAAGGCTTTTTGCAAACTCAGAGGCTGCTGCTCCTCGCTTTTCGTCATGTTTTCCTCATCCATCGCTTGCTCTGCAAGCCCCCTTCCCTCCTCCTCCTCCCAGAGAGAAAAAAGGGGGGGGGGGGAGGTAGTCTACCCCCTCCGCCTCTCCAACCACTGCGACTTCTCAACAATGTCTCATGAAGAAGAAACCCAACATCTCACACAGGGTTGAGGGGGTGGGGGTGGGAGGAGGGGACAAGAACCAAAATTTATTATTTTATTTTGGGGTATCAAGCCGACTCCATTAGAATGTCTTCTCTCTCTGAGTCTCTGATCCCTGAAAAGGAGAGATGCTGTTTCTCAGAAGCAAACCAGGTGATGTGATGCTGTCTGTACACTTAGGGAGGGGAGGAGGAGGAGGAAAAGGAGGAGGAGGAGGGGGAGGAGGGGGAGAAGGAAAATAGCGCTCACTCTTTACACACCGGCTCCGTGAAGGACAAAATTATATATTTTTGGCTGGCTTGCTTTTATGTCAAAAAAAATCTGGTTTGCCCCCCTCCCAGTTGCAGTGACAAGGCATTGTCCACCGTTTGGGGTGCTTTAGCGCGTTCTCAAGATGCTGTCTGCATTGCTCCCGCGGCTGCGGCGGCGACTGCGGCTGGCTGCTGTCTCCTCCTCGCGCTGCTGCTGCTGCTGCTGCTGCTGCCGCCGCCGGGCTCCGGGGGTGACGGCTGCTGCATTCGCTCCTGCCTCGCTCCACACCGACATCTTGCCTGTCAATCAAAGGGGGGTGGGGGGAGCGAGGGAGTGCCGGCGAGGGATGGCGAGCGAGCGAGGGACCTGCAGGGGAGCGGGTTGGTGGAGAGGCGCCGTGCGCGCATCCGCCCCAGCCGGCCCCGGCCCAGGCGCGCCAGGGACCCGCCGGAGGAGGCGCGCGCAGGCTCGCGCACCTGGCCGGGGCAGGGGACGGCTCCCAGCGGGGACAGGGGGAGCCGGGGGCGGGATTTCGAGGGGATGCGGAGCTCGCGTGGCAAAGTGAAATTACTACCGGGCGTGCGTGCGAGCGAGCGGCCGGCGGGCGGGGGCGTGGGGGAAGCGCGCGCGCGGCGGGCCGAGGCTGCTCCCGGGGGCGGTGGAGGTGGCAGGGAGGGTGCCAGAGCGCGGAGGCCGGCGAGGGGGCGGGGGGGGGGGGGGGGTGGCGGGGAGGGGGTGGGGGCCACTACTACAGCGGCGCTCTCGCGAGAAGAGGCCGGAGTACGGCTCAGCAGGTGCGCTCTGGCTGGGAGCAGGTGTGCGCCCAACTTTAAAACCCTCGGTGCGTGCGGGAGAAACGTCAGCGTGAACCTGGGCACGTCCTCTCTGGCTTTCTGGCTCGATAAATGTGTGTGCGTGCCTGGCTTTTCGCTCGTTTGTCCTTTCTTGTTACTGGGGGAAAATAAAACAAACCTGATGATCTTCCATGAGCTATAGGAAGCTGGGCCTGGCGGAATTGGTACCCTGGCCTGCAGTTACCCTGACGGTGGCTGACCATTTGGAGGGGAAAAGGGGCTTTGCCTTAATCTGATTGTTATTGTGCCCTACATGTCCTGAAAGATCGATCCCAGCCTACCTAACCGACCTTATGTTAGCAAACTATGGCCCCAAAATGGTTTTTACATTTTTAAATGATTGGAAAAAAAAATCAAAAGAATATTTTCTGACATGTGAAAATTAGAAGAAATTCACATTTCAGTGTCCATAAATTAAGTTTTATTGGAACAGTGCCACCCGTTTGTTTATTGTCTGTGGTTACTTTTGCATTATAACAGCAGAATTGAATAGTTGCAACAGATACTGTATGACTTGTGATGCCTAAAATATTTACTGTCTGGCCTATTACAGAAAAGTTTGCCAACTCCTGATTAAAACACCAAAGATATCCTTGCCTCAGAGTTCTTTGCATTCTGTGTCCCCTCTGCTTGGACTCCGTTTCTCTTTAATTCTCTCTCTCCTGTCACTCACTGTCAGTTCAAATGTCGTCTCAGAGAGCCTTCATCTCCCTGACCAGCTTAACTAATAGTACTCCCAACACACATTGCCCAAAGGATGTATTTAGGGTCTTTAGCAAGAGACATCTCTTTCTCCTGGTGAACAGAGCCCCATACCGGGGAACTGGGCTTATGGGGCAGAGTAGACTCAGAACATATGGTACAATATATGCCCCTTAAAAGGAAGCCACTTGAGAGGTAGAATGACAGCCAGTGAAGGCAAACTTTTTTTAGACTGTGGGCTATGGGATTTTGTAGCTCAGACAGAGCCGAATCAGCATTTTCAAAATCTCTCTGTCATGAGGAGCTCAAGAGAGTTCTCTATGCTCTCCATCTTTTGGACTAGGAAGTTTATGGATTCCAATTCTCTGGTGAAGTTCTCTTTTCATTTATTTTCTCCATCTTTTCTTTGTTTTTCTTGAACATATTAATCATGGTGGTTTTAAAGGCCTTGTCTAATTCCAATACCTCGGTCACCTGCAGAGTCTGTTTCTATCAACTGTTTTTCTCTCTGTTTTCAGTGGTGTGGTCCTGTCTCTTGGCAGGTCTTGTAATTTTTGTTGAATGCTAGACATTGTGTATGAAAAAAATAGAGAGACTCCAGCTGATGATCCAACCGTGGAGAGAGCTCACCCTTTCTCTGCAAGACAGATGGCATGGGGACTGATAATCTGGCTTCAATCAGAGGCTGAGTTGAGTGGAGGCTGGGTTACAGTTCTGATGAGACACCATCTAACTGACACCCATTTCTAAGGCTTGGCCTTTCAGGGATGCCAACTTCAAAACTTTCAAAGGATGAGAACTTTGGGTGTTCACCGAGGCCCCTCCCCTCTTGTCCTGAGCTCTAATCTTTGTCTGCATATCATGGCAAGACTGCTGAAAACTCTCCTTTGTTTTTCCGGGGCTTCCTGCTTAGCTTCTTAGCCTATCAGCCTGCACTATTTCAGAATTTGCTAAATGTCTTAAGGGAAAGTTGCCATCTATCAAGCTCACTTTTCTGCCCCTCCCTTCTCTCTGGAATCTCAGCCTCTCAAGTCCCCAGTTTTGTCTCTCCAGCCCTGAGACTGCCAAAAGTTCTGCTGGTTTCTCTGTCCCCCAGCAGCAGCCCCTTCACCTGGGAAAAATCTAGACTCCATGTGCCCAGATTTGCAAATGTCCCCAGGGAAAAAGTAGCTGTAGAATGTCAGCTCACTTCAACAGAGTTCCTCTCTCTCCAGAATCGTGTCCCCTTCAGTCCTGGTTGCTTCAGCAGCTCTCTGAATGTCATTAAGCAGATGATGATGATGATGATTTGATCTGACTTTTCTAGTTCTTTTCTGAGGAAGTGGAAGTTTAAACAATGAAAGTAGCCCATAGGTCAGAAATCATCCGCTGACAGGGCTGTAAGCAGCACCCAAATGTATCTGTTTGACCCCTCTGCTTTTTTTCAGTTGATTGCTGTAGTGGACATTTGTTATGCTTTGCATCCACCCAGTCTCCTTTGAATATCTTTCCTACTTTTGGAAAATATCCCGCATTATAAGTCCCACCTCTCCATAAGAGAAACCCAAGCACCTATCCAGAACCTTCCTTGCAACCAGGTGTCATGAGATCTAAGCTCTACCATTAGACACATCACATGAGATTTCTACTGGGAAGTAGGCCACAAAGCAGAGGAATCTATCTGATAGTGAGCATAGCAGCCAATGCACCTGCTTCCAGGTGTCCCGCCCCTGTGTAAGCTTGGTGTCCATCCTGAGAGGCATGGCATGGTATTCTTAGGGGTGGCCGCATGGAGTGGTTTCGACATCATTCTTGGCCGCATAGTCTGGGCCCAACTCTTTTGTCCTCCTGGAGATTCTATAGGCTTTCTAACCATCTGCCTTAGTCTGCTCAGGCTGCCATAACAAAATAGCATAGATGGGTGGCTTTACAACAGAAGTTTATTTCTCACAGTTCTGGAGGCTGGAAGTCTGAGGTCAGGGTGCCAGCATGTTCAAGTTCTGGTGAGAGCTCTCTTCCAGGATTGCAGATGGCGCCTTCTTGCCATGTCCTCACATGTGGCTCACGTGGCTTCTTGTAAGACCACAGCCCTATTTGATAAGGGCCTCACCCTTTGACTTTAACCAACCTTAATTACCTCCTAAAAACTGTAAGGCTACATGGGGGGTTAGGACTTCAACATATGAATTTGATTCCATCCATAGTCCCGCCCTGTTAAAGCACTTCTGCTTAAACCACCAGGAATAGGTTGTGTCGTTTGCAACAAAGAACCCTGACTAATATCTTGCCAATAATTCCAAAATCAGGAGATACTACAAAAAAATGAAGATTTCTGGCCTTTCTGGGAAAACGGGAAGATCTGGCCACCTTGGGCAACAATTGGCTGGATATGAGGCAACTGTCCTTTTCAGATGGGACCCGGGCTCTCCACTTCACCACCTCCCCCCGCCCCGCACCTGCCCCCTTGATTCACTATTTAGCTGTCCTGCCTGGCCCCCAGACGCGTTTGTGTTTGCTGCCCCTGGTATGGCTTAAGGTGGTTTGCACCTCAAACCAGGAAGAAGCTCACCAATTTCAAGTGTGGAGAACTGGAGCTAACTGATGAGAATTGTGTTGTTGTTATTGTTGTTGTATTTCCTCCCATACTGCCTCTGAATGACGCATGTCTCACGTGGCTTTATCAATAGTAGAAATAAATTATTGTCACTGGGCTACTGAATGAGTTGAACTTGGCAATATCTCATTGACTCCATAGCTTTTAGTTCAACTCTAAGAGCACTGTCATATTCAGGTGTTAGAAGTCCGGTCCAGTTCAATCAAAACTTCATTCTCATATCAGGTTTAATACCTTCTTCCCCACCCCCACCGGTTGGACCCACGGATGGCTCAGGAATCTGCACTGGAGACAAGGGTAGGTATGTCCTTTCCTGCCTCCTCTCCAGCTCACCTGGAGCAGAGGGATGAGTGGAAAAGGGACCCTCAGCTGAGAACAGGTGAGTAAAGGTATAGTACTCTCTTGGGTGTCAAATGTCCCCTCTATCTCCTGGCTCTATCTCATATGCTGGCTCTTTTACATGAGTTGCACTGGAGGATCTTTGGAGACCCCCATGGGGACTCAATGCACACCCTGGGTGACCCCTTGCACACCCCTTTTCCATTCAGACCCCAGGATGCACCCCATATTCTCTTCTCCCCTTGCCTGGCAGGCTGCCCTCTTGGCTGAGGCTTTTCAGGATGACTCAAGCCTAAGTACATACTCCCTGGCCCACGGGACACATGCTGCACCTTTGCCCTGCTGCCTTCTCTCCTCTCTGCCATCACGGGCAGCCCCAGGCAGCCTTCAGCCACCATGGAGGTGCCAGCCACCCCACCTTGGTGCTCCCAGTCTCAAAAACGATTCTTCTTTGAACTCTCCTCTCTTGGCTTGGGGGTTGTAAAGGGAGAGGGAAACCTCCCTACAAAGACCTGTCAGATAAAATCTTGACCTTGTCTTATATGGGCTGGAGGTTGATGGTTATTGATGGTCAAAGGACCAGTCTGGCCACCTCTTAAAAAAGGAGGAAGTATTGTTACCCAAAGCCCTCCCCTTTGAAGCTTTAGCTGAAGTTCTGGGTCAACAGGAAAGGTCTCATTCTACATCCTGTTATATTAGTGATGAGCTGGCCCCAATATTTTCTAAGTTGCATTGTGAATAGGGACCCAAGTTGGGAAATGGCAGACTAGGAGGTAGAGGGGTGGCTGATGCCTCTGAAACTGAACAAAACTAACATTGACTTCCCCTTGAAGGGCTCAACATAATGCCCTCCCCAGGGCATTTCTTTCTTTTTTCCTGTTTCTACTGATTCTTTGAGGCGGAAAAAATCTCAGAATGCTAGCCCCCAGATACAACCAAATCTTCCATCGCTGCTAGAGGATTATTACTGTGCTGTTCTAACTCATTGATCCCCAAAACATAAATGGCTTTTTAAAAATACCTTTGATGAGTGCAGGCAGAATGTTCTTATCTTTAACCTTGTGAAGTTTTCCCAACATCTGAAAACTGACTTTTTCTAGAGTTCTCCTTTTGGCCTCTTGCCTCTTTGTCTCCTAATTTTCCAGTGCGAGCAAAACAACCAGATCGTTCTCTTGATGGCGAGATAATTTGAGCTCACG